GACATTGTACACTATCACATCTTTCTTTTTTCTTTTTGGCTTGCTTGGTCTTTAGTTTATCTTTAGGCTTCTCTAAGCTAGCAACCGCCGAACACATCTGTTATATATAAACAGGGCGGCCCTGAGAGAGGGAAGGGTGTGCGACTGGGTCCCGAAAAAAATTGGGTCCGGTTTTAAGCGAAATTAACTAGTTAATATATCATTATATATTAATGTTTTCAAATAAATTCATCAGTGCTGTATAGTTTAGTTGGTAAAAGCGCTTTTTTTTATTGCCAACTAGACCGTGTTTGATGCATGCCGCTTACATTTTAATTTAAGATCACCTTTTACGCTGAGGATAACTAAGTTGTCCTCAACGACCTTTCCATTGTTAGAATGTTAGAATATTCTAATATTCTACTATAATTGTTAGTTCTATTACCAATAATAGTCATTGTTTACATAGCATGTCAAATAAGTTTGAAGAGTGACTGTCCACCTGAGGATATTGAAGAGTGACTGTCCACACGATAACAATGTATTTCAGAAGAGCGTCCAATAATAGCAACAAACTTAACCTACTTAAGCAACAACCCCTTATATGATTCTTGTTTTTGTCTAACACCATATTCTTGGATTCCAGAGCTTGACCTTTCCATCACTTTTAGATTTATTGACATTAGTTTTCATCATATTTCACTTTTAGACATCTGCAAAAACAACATGAGGTGATCAAATAAATGAGTAGATACAAGGGATGTATGAATCAATTTTGTTTTTGTGGGATTGTGGCCATTTAGCATGCTAAAAAATATTTCACCCTTTTACCCAACCATCCTTGGTCCTTTACATTAAAAACTAAAAAACATACAAATGAATAGAAAGAAAATGATTTGATTATCTGGATGGTTTTTTTGCCATGTACGGACAACATAAAAGGGAAAAAAATAATATCTTTGTGAAAAAATGGCTTTCAAGCTCTAAATCCACAAAAAGAAAATTCGGAAGGGCATGGGAATATATTTACCTTATACTTTGTGTAATTTAGCATCCCATTTCCAATCTTTTAATAGATTAGAACTATTCTTCCATTTTTTCTAGTTAAAAGTCAGTTCTCAAAGTGCAATTCAGAAGGATACATGATAATATTTACCTCATCGTCAACAAAAAAGTAATTTCAGGCTTCAACTATCAATGTGTAACTCCATTAAAACAACATGGTTGAACAACACCGACGATGCACTTTAAGTTGTTAGCATGATCTTAGCAAACTTAGTTATTAAAGCTTTAACAAATTATCCAAGTTTAGATGAATGCTAACGAGTAAATAAAATTTTAAAGTATTTTTTACCTTAACGTGTTCATTAGCAACCTTTCCATATCATATTGAACCACCTACTAATATACACATTTGTGCAATCATCTCTTACCTGGCCAAAAACAAAGATAGTAATCCACCAAAAAGGCCTTCGTGTACATATTCTTTAACAAAAGCCTAAAAGGTATTATGTAAAATGCACAATTAAGAGACTTAAAAGAGTCCACGTACAAACCCACAAACATTACTTTCACAAAAACCACTTAAACCAAATCGCAAAAATGAAATCATATATATATTCTAAAAAGGAGAAACATAATAGTTTAGAAAGAAAACCAATGTTTCAGTCTTCAATTCAACTCGAACCAATAGAAACACATATTGAATGAGAATGATTTCAACATCAAACACACACCTCGAGCATAAAGTCAACAATGTCCAATCTTCTAAACATGAGTTCTCCCGAATACAAACCTGCATATCTGCAAATAATTTAAAATACTACAAAACTGGAAGGAAAAAGAGTAAATACAAAAAAAACAAAATGATGCATAATCTACAAAAAAAAATTATAGTAAAAACAATTGCAAATCATATAACAATGAGTTATCCCATAATAAACAAAAAATACAGAGAAAAATTGATTATAATAACAGGGTTAGATGCATACATCGTCTTTGGAGGTTTTCACCCGTTGATACAGTTAAACATATGTAGATATCGAGATCATGGAGTAGAAAAATGGTGACGTAAAAAGAGATGAAATTTCACATAGAGATTCCATCAGATACATAAAGAGTTGAAAGTGTAAAATAGAAAGCTACATGATATAATGTTAAAAAAGGAAAAGAAAAAAAGAGGAATACATATAAATTACTTTCAACATCAACTATAAAACGTGTAAAATAGGAAGCTACAGAATATACTTGGTGGAATCAAAAGCAATTGAGGAAGTCTAACTTCTTACCTTCATTGCTGGTGGACGAAGCTATATTTTAGCATACACCTATAAAAAAAATTCAAATACACAACTGATTTAGGGTTTTAAGCGAACAAACCTTGTAAACTTGTAAGTTAAATATCAAAATCGATGAACTAAAATGTTCGTCTTCAAGCTAGACTGCAATTTATATAGAATGAAAACATGAGATCATCAAATTTTAGCTACAATTGGGAAGGACGAGATATAGGGGCGCCGAGTCAAGATAAGGACGAGACATAAACGACAACATGGTTTATGACTTGATCTCAAGCATAGAGCGGGAGATTACATAGGTTATATCCGATTTTTGTGTTTAATAGATTAATTGATCGGGAATTCAAATTTGAAGATAAGAAAGAGAAGTAAAAGAGGGAAATATAAGGAGCCATGTTAAACTTTATGTTTAGACTTGAAGAAGATAGTCATGCATTAGTTAATTGTACTTTCGGTTTAAAGTTTGAACGTCTTAATCTATTTTTAGAAATAGTAAGGTTTGTATAATAATATAGTAAGATATAGGGAAAAGTTCAAAAGAGAACCATTATTAATCAAAGAGCCAAGGAACCAATCCAAAGCGTCGAAATTTAAAGCGATCAACGGCAAAAGGAAGAGTCGTAGACTTTTACAATGGACGCACATGCACCGGATTATAAAAAAACTCACTTCCTTTTTTTCGTTTAAATTTTTTTTAGGCCATGTTTTTTATCGAAAAAAAACCGACTATACTGTTGTTCACGATTTTTCGTCCTCTTTCCAAAGAGATCCATGATGATATATAAAAAACGAATTTTTTTTTTCGAAAAAAACCCACTTCATTTTCTTTGTTGAAAAGTTAAGGTCTATTTTTTTATAGAAAAAAAATAATAAATATATCAAAATTCATGTTTTTTGTACTTTTTAAACATATATTCATATTCATGTAAAAAAAACTATATTTCAGTTCAGATTCACATTGTGAACATGTTTATATTCATATTGTGAACCTTCAGATTCACATTGTGAACCTTCTTAGATTCACAGTGTAAATCTGAACTGATCGAGCTATTTCATATTGTGAATGTTAAAAATTTGTTTTTTATATATTAACATCGATCTCTATGGAAAGAGGACGAAAAATCGAGAACAACGGTATATTCGGTTTTTTTTTTTGATAAAAAATATGGTCTAAAAAAAATTTTAAACGAAAAAAAGAGGTGAGTTTTTTGGTAAGGAGATGAATTTTTTGGTATAATCCGGTGTGTGTGCGTCCAATATAAAAGTGTACATCTATTTCCTTGGCCGTTAATCATTATGATTTTCGACGCTCAAGATTGGTTCATTGGTTCATTGTTAATTATACTTCTCTATTGAACCTCACCCCTCACCATATATCGTTACTAGTTCAGCCCTACTATTAAGGCGTTATCCTATTTACTAATATATAGTCGATCTTTATGCAATAACTCAGAAAGTGTTATCAATTTGAATTTTTAAGCGGCTATTAAAATTTATAATCTAAAACTAAGTAACAATTTAAACCTTCAACCATTTAATTTGGGCCGAAAGTCACTTTCTCAGCATCGGATGCCACTCAGCTATAAACCCGAATAATGCCCGATCAATTTGTTAATATCTTACCTTTATATATTTGTAATTAGCCGGTGAATTAAACTAAACTGCAGACATAGACTTAATTAGTTACTGAAGCCACATGCATTTCTTGGAACTTAAACCCCTCGTCACATTACCATTAAATGCCCTTCATAATATTATGCAACATTATGCAACTTGTCTCATCATTTGCTTACTATTTCCACTTTTTTCATACCCTAAGCAATCGTTAGATCACATGTTCCATTTCATTTTTTCAAATCCGATCCTAATTCCTAAGCAACTCCTTTGAGATTTACGACATTAAAACTAGATTTATGCGTCTTTAATTATTGGCATTTCGTACATGCTTTTTGACTTTTTAACAAGAACGATCGATTGACTTGTTTATTTGGATACCCTTTTTTGTCCTTATAACAAAGTATTACAAATAAGAATATTTATCATTAAGGCATTGATTAGTTGTACGTTAAATACGGGGTACCCATTTGACCAACCATGTGTTTGTGTGCAGAACATTTGCTTCTAAATAAAGTAAACAAACCCATCAATAAATATTGCTTAATTCAACATTTTTTTTCATTTATTTTAATTTACAAGGATTTAATTTTATTAATTTATTTAAATAAATACATACAGATCGGTTAGATATCGAGGGCAGTTGAATTCCACCACTCATTAGCCAATCAATGCATCCATGATTGAACCCTACCCTCCCCACCCTCTTCAACCCTAATCATCATTCTCGTTTGTTTACAATATTAACATAAACCCAATTAAAAACACTTTATTAATCAACCTGTACCTTTTCGTATTTATTTAATTATTTATAAATATTTTATAACATCGATAGAGATATTAGTTACTAATATAAATAGCCGCGAGCACCTACCTACAGGTTATACATGACAACCACCTTTCTAATTCCAAATCTTCATTTCACACACATATATACGTATACATATACATTTACATGTATATATAGATCACATCTTCCATCTTTTTCACTCACAAGACGTATTACGTACACATAACATCTCTTTCTCTCTGGGTATATATATATATACAGCTGGAGATCGAAGAATTTAAGGGAGGTATAATCATTAATTATAACATATCGAAGAAATCATGGCCGAGTCCTCGCATCTACCACCACCACTACCACCAAAGAAGTCTAACAAAATTAGAGACATTGTTAGGCTTCAACAGATGCTTAAGAAGTGGAAGAAGACTGCAACCTCCAAGAACAACAACAACGACGACAATGGTGGTGTCCCCATTAAGACGACCACAACGAAAGGTCTTAACAAGTTCCTCAAGAAAACCCTATCTTTTTCAGATATCAGCAGCAGTAGTACAGGTCAAGAAGATGTGGTGCGAAAAGGATACCTAGCTGTTTGGGTGGGGAGAGATGAAGATGCCATGAAGAAGTTTGTAATCCCTACAGATTACTTAACACATCAAGCTTTCAGTCTACTCTTAAGAGATGCAGAAGAAGAGTTTGGATTTCAGCAAGAGGGTATCCTCAAGATCCCCTGCGATGTTCCTCTCTTTGAGAATATCTTGAAGACGATGACAGACAACAAGAAAAACCATCAACAGCAGCAAAGATCTACCCTCAAATCTTCATCTTCAACATCCTCATTCTTCTTGTATGATGATGATCAGCAAGAGCAACAACAAACGGAACAGCTTAACTGCTGCACCTCTTCTGCTACTCCGCCACCTCATCATCAACGTCATCGGAGCTCCACTTTCGATTCCCAGCTGCTAAAGACACCTCCAACCACTCCAACTCACAACCTTCCATTATACTGTCGATGAATTCATTATAATTAATCTATCTATTCATCTGTCTTTTTGGTCGTTTTATTACTATTATTGTTCCATCTTTTCTTTTGTTCTCATGATATTTAAGAGATGAACACTTTTGTTAACTTCTTGTTCTTGCTGTAGCTACTTAATAACTGATTAAGAACGCATGGCCTTTATTAAGATAATAAGATTGCAATATTTATATATCTTCGGATTTGATCTCCTTTAACTTCCATGATGAGTTTTCCTGCTTTAATCATAAGCGTTAACATTCTTTAACTGTTAGCTAGCCAGCTATGTAATCATAAGCTATACTATGATCGATAAACATTTTTATATACATTTGTACGTACTTTGTTGCAAACTAATTTTGATACAAGACAAAAGAACCCACTAAATTCTGCTAGACTGAGTCGTCGTTTTACACAAATTCCAATGGTTTGCAACCAAACTAGAGGCGTGATAGTTAAAATTAAAATATGTCATAGGGTACTGTTTCTTTCCTTTTTTTGTACATTTGAGATATGCAATTAATATGAAGGTTGTTTTGGAAGAAAAACTTTATTATTAAATTAAAGGAGAAGAAGACCCCTTTTACATTGCCTTCCCATTGGAGATATTTAGTATTTATATGAAATAAAAGGTTGTGACAATTAAATGTTTGGAGTATTAATTAATTAGGATGCATGCAACAAAGTGGAATATTATATTTGGGGGGGGGGGGGGGGGGGGGGAAAGGACATATTACATGTACGAACTAACCAAGTGGTTTTAGTAAAAACCTCTATATACGTACACCTTCCCAAGTCCTACGGTGGAATTCACATGCCGATCCAATTCCTTCTCTTCATCCATGTGGCCTCCCATGTGATTGCAACTTCTACATCTTTCTCTTCTGCATTCCTTTTATTTAATACCAAAAGATTTCTCAACTTGTGAATGTGTCATCTCATATTTATATGTAACTAATTAATTATGTATCTATGCATGTATGTATTTACTTTAATGGTACCAAAATAAATTGGCGCCTTCCCTGTAATGTAAATAAAGTCTGTAAATAGCAATTATGATGGGCCTTCAGTTATAACTTAAGCTATATATACGAGAACAAGCAAAGAAAATAAATACATTTTGACTCAAAAGACATGGTTACCAGCAATTAATAGCAAAACTAAGTCCAAAATATAATGTTCCAAATAGTATTTGCTGGTCGCGGAATGATACAAAGTTATTACTAAGAATAACGATGCCAGACAAAATAATTGTAGAATTAAAGGATTGACCATGAGTACAATCATGGAAGTTTAAAGAGTATTTTTCATTATTCCCATAAACATTGTACAACTAATCGTTAATGAATAACAACTTAACATGGGCTATGCTTTTGTTTAAAGTTGACTTTGACAAAGCATTTGATTCAATAAATTGAGAATATCTTGACTCGTTGTTCATGCAAATGGGGTACGGCGATAGATGGAGAGGGTGGATACAAGGTTGTCTTAAATCGGCTAGAGCTTCGGTTCTTATAAACGGATCCCCCATGGAAGAGCTTGAAATGGGAAGCGGGTTCGTCAAAGTGATCCACTGTCGACATATCTCTTTATTATAGCTATGGAGGGACTCAAAATTGCAATGAAAAAAACATGTGAGAAAGACATTCTCGGGTATCAAGATTCCACACGATGACTTATCTATATCTCACATCTTCTACACGGACGACGTGCTCTTCTTGGGGGAATGGAGCAAGGACAATATTAAAAACCTTGCAAGAATACTTAGATGTTTTCATGTCTCTTCATGACTCAAAGTCAACTTCCACAAGTCTCAAGCTTTTAGCATTGGTGTGGATATGCACGGTGTAACGTCCCATTAATATGATCCAAAAGTTTCATTTTTACTTTAAACAAAACTGTATTCCAAAAACATTGTCAATACAATCCAAGTGAAAATAAGTGTATCACACATCATATCAATCAGAGTAAATCACAAAAGCGGAACTACACGGTGTGTGCGATACAGTCATCCCGAACTCTTCCCTCTGGGACCGGAAGTACCTGAAACATAAACTGAAAACCGTAAACACAAAGCATAGTGAGTTCCCCAAACTACCCCATACCATACATAATAAATCACATACTGGGCCCCCGCCCGGCATCGAGCCCCGTTCGGTATAGATATATGTTATTCTTAGGCCCCGCCTGACATCGGGCCCCACCCACTATACACATACAATATATATCACATAATCATGCTAACACATACAATGATCATAAAACAATAGCATATGTTTCAGTCATCGGGCCTCGCCCGCCATCGAACCCCGCCCGATATACATAGCAGTACATAACACATGTAAGGGTCACACACACTCCTAGCATCCTAACATAAATAATATGGGCCGACATTGGTGCCTTAGACCCGCTAAACCCAATGAGGAAACTTAGCTCGACTGTTGAATCTCTTTTAAAATCCTTGGCTGTTGTCCTGACGAATCCCCGAGCTATCATTACAAAATAACACCCAATTAACATTTGGGTTCCAATTTAAATCCAACAATCCATACTTGGGGTAAAAAGACCATTTTACCCCTCACCTAGTTTGGTCCAAGACTAAGACTCAAACTCACAATCTAAATGGCCCAAAAACCAAATAATCATCCAAACCCCACTTATGGGCCTTACCCTAAAGTCCAATAACTTTTCCCTAGTCCAAAACACTTGTTCTCAGATGGCCCAACAAGAACCCAAACACCTAAGCCCAATAGAAAGTCCCAAATCGAACCCCAAAGTGCAAAAACCCAACTGATTGAGTATGTGGGGCGTACTCAGCTGTACGCTAAGCGTACACGCTAAAAGGCTTGTACGTCGTGCGTACCAACTTGTACGCCCAGTGTACTCATCCATTAAGCCATAATCCAATTTAAGCACTTAATGCTTAAGTACAGAATTCCAAATCATAGATCTAAGTCCCAATAAGCGTCTAGAACCATAAAGTCGCTGACTTGGTGACTTTACATGCCCCATAAGGACCCAACTTCAGGATATAGCACTTTACTTTCACTTAAAGGACATAATTTCATGCATGGGTGATTCTAAACCCTAAAGGTGCCAACTTTATGAACCTTGAACCTCAGAAACACCAAGAGTGGCAACTCATAGCTCCTGGAGTGGTGAAAAACCACTAGATCTCATTCATGGGACCAAAAAGGGTCCAAAACTCATATAGACTAGATCTAAGCTTCTAATGAACAAGATCAAAGCTTTTTACCTCAAATAAGCTGGAAATGAAGCGGATAACCAATATCCACAAGCTCTTCCTTGATCCACCACATTGCACCAAGCTTCTACTTCTTGATTACGGACCAAAACACACCAAAATGGACACAATGAGCTCAAAACAAAAAGGAGAGGCTTAGGGTTTCATGCATGAAGCTATAAGGACAGAGGAGGCTGATAAATGAGGGTTTCATGAGCCATAAATGTGTGTATATAGTGTCCAACCCTGAAATTAGGGTTTTCATTAAAGCACACATACACCCCGCATACATGGATGTACGCCCCGCATACGTGTCTGAAATCCCGTCCAAACCTCGCATGAGTACGCTAAGCGTACCATGTGGTACGCCCCGCATACTCGCTTTGCAGTTTGTACGCCAAGCGTACCATGTGGCACGCCCCACGTACTACACAAGGACTAAAATGCAACTTATCAATACACAAGGGGCAATAGTGAAACATATCAGGATTCAAGTGTTACAATTCTCCCCCACTTGAATCAGACTTCGTCCTCCAAGTCCGCTGCCCCAAATAACTCCGGATAGTGCTCTCTCATCTCATCCTCGGGCTCCCAAGTCCACTCCGATCCCTTGCGGTGGTGCCATTGCACTTTCACCAGCTCGACAACCTTGTTCCTCAAGGTTTTCGTCTTCCGATCCAGGATCTCCAACGGTCTCTCAATATAATTCAGACGATCATCCACCTGAATATCCTCCAATGGCACCACTACAGAATCATCTACTAAACACTTCTGCAGTTCAGAGACATAGAACGTGCTATGAATCTGAATGAGCTCATCTGGAAGATCCAAGCGATAAGCAACCCGGCCCACCCGAGCCAAAACCCTGAAAGAACCAATATACATGGGGCCCAACTTGCCCCGCTTCCTGAACCGGATGACACCTTTCTAAGGTGACAACTTCAGGAGAACCATATCTCCCACCTGGAACTCTAAGTCTGACCGGCGCCTGTAGGCACAACTCTTCTGCCGACTCTGAGCTGTCTGCAGCCTGCTCCGAACCTGCTGTATCAGCTCAGTGGTCTTGAGTACCACCTCGGTACTCCCCCTAACCTGTTGACCGACCTCGCCCCAGCAAATCGGGGTCCTGCATTTCCTCCCATAGAGCATCTCAAAAGGAGGTCGATCAATGCTGGTGTGATAGCTGTTGTTATACGAAAATTTTGCTAACGGAAGATACGTATCCCAAATCCCATCGAAATCCAGAACAGACGCTCGCAACATATCCTCTAGGGTCTGAATCGTCCGCTCACTCTGACCATAGGTCTGCGGATGGAATGTTGTGCTGAAATGGAGACGAGTGACCAATTCGTCATGAAACGTCTTCCAAAACTTGGAAGTAAATCGAACATCTCTGTCAGAAACCATTGATACCGGCATCCCATGACGTGCCACAACCTCCCTGATATAAACACCGACCAACTTCTCTGCATAAATACTCTCCTGAACCGGAATGAAATGCGCGCTCTTGGTCAAACAATCCACGATGACCCATATCGAATCCATTCCGCGCAGTCTTGGGAAGCTTCGTGATAAAATCAATGGTGATGTCCTCCCATTTCCATACGGGAATCTCCAACGGCTGCATCTTTTCGTGAGGTCACTGATGTTCGGCCTTGACCTTCCTGCAGGTTAAGCACCTCTCTACATCCCGCTTCATGCAGGGCTACCAATACGTCAGACGAAGATCCCTATACGTCTTCGTCGCCGCGGGA